GAGAGAAGCGCGAGAGCCCGGGAGAGAGAGAGAGAGAGAGAGAGAGAGAGACTAACAAAGAGACAGAGGACATGATGTCATAAACAATGTCCCTGATGGGCTTACCTGAGCAGGTGAGATTCAGGAAGGAGGAAGAGGAAGATGATGCGAAACACTCCCTCAGAGCAGATACAGACTGAACAGGCTGACTACAGTAAGAGGTGATGTACAACGCAGATCTCTTTGAGGACTCCTTTCTCTCTCCCACAGAAACAGCAGAGCCACAGTCGAGCTCTCTGCAGGCGACTCCTACATCCTGCAGGGTCCAGGGAGAGGAATAGTCCACTGGTCTCCATTCTCCCTGAACCCTAATCCTAACCTCCAGGTCTCCTGCACAGCGACTCTCTCCTCCCACCAGCCTGACACCAGGCTCTGGAGAGAAACAAGAGAGTCGTGTCCTTCATTGATATTAGCATATTTTAATAATGAATCATTTATTCTATTAATACTTCCGAGTGATAATCAGATCATTAACTCCAGCTCTCTATAAACCAGTGGTGGGAAGGAATAAAGTACATATACTCAAGTACTGTAAGTACAGGTTTGAATAACTTTACTGGAGTATATGGTTTTATAATACTTGTTAGAGCCAGTATTTAGCTTTGATAAGAAAGGCCTAATTGTGACGTCTGTAGTCAACGCACTATAAAGGACTACATTTCCCACGGAGCCTGTGCTAAAGCCACAGTGATGGGCAACCTGTTGAGAGACGCCGTCGAGGAACAGTTGTTAACCGTACACGTACACGTACATACAAATGGTACAAGTACCCTTTAAGTTATGAAGTTATAAGCATTATCAAGAAAGAAAGAATACCTCAGTTGTTTGTTCTTTTATTTGAGTTTGGCCTATTTCTTTTGAATATTGTAAAGGCCTATTTTCTTTGTTGCATGTGCAAAAGTTTGTTATTTTATTTTGAGCAAACACATCATCTAACCATCGGAGGCCAAGCAACACTTCAAACTGTGAGTCATTTAAAGCAACGAGTTAGAACTGTCTGTGTAGAGCAGGGGTGGGGAACCTTTTTCCTCTCAAGGGCCATTTCCATGTTTTTTTTGATACCGTGGGTTATTTACAAAGAAACACCTAAATATAGCCTACTTGTTGTTATTGTGCTTCTGTCTTTCTGTGTCTTCTCATCTGTAAACTCCCTCAACGCGCCGCTCGCTCTCTTTTCTTGATCGCCCTCTCACGGGTGAACAGTTCACTGTCCCGCTGCATTGTAGGATTTCTGCCATGTACCGCTTTAGTTTGACCATCTCTGTTATTAAGTTATGGAATACTACATTGAATTGTCCCCATTCTTTCTTTAATAGTTAGTAACATTAGATATTTTAATGAGATATGGACCGCAAAACTAAAAATGTCCCTGGTTTTCATTTTTAAAATCAAGTCACCGAATGCAAGTATAGTCGCCTTTGCTTATTTTCTTATGAGATGTGAATTACTGTTCAATTTAGTTGATGTAATAATCGTTTGGTTTCTTTTACATTAAAAACAAGTTACAATTTTCAAAAGGTCTTATGTTTTTTTCCGGGGGGAGGCCCGTTTTCCAGTTTAGAGCAATAGCCCCTCCAAATGTCTGTGCACGTCCCTGCCTGGAAGTAGAACAAGTCATTCAAGTTATCTCCACCTTTACCAGCTGCTAAATTCAAAATGATGTTCACATGAATGGATCATTGATTAGAATCCAGACTATAATATATCATTATGAAAATAGTCGTACTATGAGTCATATTAATGATGGTACTTTAAGCATTATTTGATCCTAATACTTTGACCTAAGTACATTTACATACCAGACTTGTTCTTGTTACAGTATTTCTACACTGTGGTATCACTTCTTTGAATCAAGTATAACATCTCCCCCACATCTATAAACTAATAGGACCTGAAACATGAAACATATGATTAAGTAGAGCTAAAAAACATTTCAATCAGAAAGCTAAACGTAGAGATTAGTAGCATGTGTATGTGTGGCTCTGTCATTTGAACCCTTTGGTGAACATGTGCAATATGGGTCCGTGTACGTGTGTGTTTCTCTTTTAACACAAGAAACTAAATCCCCCAAAAATCCCATAAAGATTTTCAACAAAAACTGAAAAAAGGAACACAAAAGCCTTTTTTCTGATGTTGTTGTTTGTGCAGGTAAATAAAAAGAATACTGTTGAGCTTGACACATTTTGCCTAAGTACACTGCACACAGATAAGAAAGACAAATAATGGCCCTGCCACAGACTGCACTAGCGAATACATTCGGGGGGCTGGTAACCCTGGTCCAGGGACGGGGTTTGTGATCTCATCTAGTGGGGAAAGCCCTACTGGGTGCCAATATGGCCAAGCAAGGATACCTTCGTGAAGAGAGACTGGAGCCTTTGGAGTGGGGACCTTATGTTCCCGGTGAATGTGTAATTGGTAGAGTTGTTACTGCCATGAGGCGCGTTCACACCGGAGTACTTTGGAGTACTTTTCCCACAATAGTTCATCAGAACTACGATATATTTGCGTTCACACCAAAAAGCCCCAGGAACTAAAGTAGCTCAAATTAGTTCGTCTGACCCGCTTTTCAGTCCCTGCTACAGAGCAGGGACTGTCGTGGGAGAAAATAGTTCGTACGTCTGATTGGTTGTGCGGAATGCAAACCACGCCCGTTTGACTCTGGCAATCCTTTTGTTAAGGCTTCTTAACCGCCTTCGCCTCCGACTCAGCATTTCTATTGCATTTGAATGGTCGATCTGTATTTGTATTTGTGGCTGAGTTATTGGCTTAAATAACTCAGTTACACGACCACCAAAACGTCAACTCCATACCGTGTCTGAGGTCGGAAGGTAAACAGAAGCATACAGCGGAAGCGGAGGTTTTTTTTTTGGCTGGCCCTTAAACTGCTAAGGCTAATCTTAAAATGTACATGTTTCTTTTTGGGTCATGGGTTAACAAAACAAGGGAGTTAAACAAAGGAAGACATTTAGGGAGGGAGAGTCCTGTTGTTCAGGGGAAATGGAGAGGTTGGCTTCGGTAGATCAACATGATTCCTCCTCTCCCAACTTTGCTAAAAACCTTTATCCATAAAAGCTGCTTAAGAAAACAATTCTAAAGAAAATGTTCCAAACTGCTGAGAGGGAGATTTCTCCTCTTTTGCCTCTCCTCCTTGCTGCAGGCTAAGCACCGGATGTTGATGTGGTTTGACATGCAGCTCCGAGATAGAGATCAGCACCCCCGCCTTTACATACTCTCACTACTCTCTGGACCTGAGACAGGCGGCCTACGCAAAGGACTTGAACCAACTTCAAGTTTGCATATTTGAAATGAAATGTTTAAAGAAAAAACTTGATTCTAAACATGACATTGACAACGTGTTCTGCTTTCATGAAAAATGTTCATATTCCCTCTCGTTAAAATTGCATATTATTACTATCAGTCTTTATTTGTTTTAATTTGAACTTTACATTTTTTTGTTCATTTTGAACAATTGTTGATTAAGTAAAAGTTGAACATATGTGACCTCCTTCTCCCTCAAAGATAGAAAAGGGGAAACCACCTGATGCAGAGAGGGAGGAGGCAAGAGACTAAAAGATGATGTGTGAAGAGACAAGGGGAGTCTTTGAGGCTGTTTGAGGCTTGAGAGCTTGAGGGTCTTGGCTCTTGGGCTTGGGCTCTTTTAGAAGGCTTTTTTAGGACATTTGACTTGTGATCCTGTTGCTTTTGTATTTTGACTTGGTGTCTTTTGTTATTTTTTGGATTCTTGTAAATCCGCTATTTTTGTTAAAACCTCAATAAAACCGGTTTGTACTTTATCGGAGACGGCCTAGATATTAACGTTGGTTGTATCGAAGTTAGATTCCTTTTCAATGTGATGATCTGATGGTATTTATAAAGTATAATCATGAAAAGTGGTGGTGATGACAAGGTGATGATGGTTTGTTGTTTACCTTTGAAGTATATCCTGGTTTCACAAACATGGTAAAATCATAAATGATGAAACTAGGATCAGTTAGTGGTGAAGTCTTTAAACTACATCATGTTTTATGATAAAGGTTGTTTACAGACTTGAATCACTTAAAGAGTAACAGGGTGAATAAACTGAGCACTTTACCTGTTGAGTTGTGTTCTCCTTCAGCCTGGAGTCCTGAGGAGAAATCAGAAGATAAGGTAAACAGAGTTTACTATCATCTCAGAAACACGTCAGTGAACTCACTGTGGAGTCATTTCACCAGTTTACTAAAGCTGAGAATAACACGTTCATACAGAGAAGTCACATATTCAGAGTTAAAGCAACAGTTGAGTTTAGAGAATATGCTCCTTCAATTCAAATGAGTCATGGTGCACCATCATCACACTGACACATGTTCTACAGCAACAATTACATTAGGAGGACCCACAGAGGAAAGAGATGCTGCCAGTTCCCACCTTCTGCTGTCACCTGAACGCCTCACTCCCCTATCACTAACTGCAGACGTTAACTAACTGACCTGTACCTGTTAGTGTGTGTGTGTGTGTGTGTGTGTGTGTGTGTGTGTGTGTGTGTGTGTGTGTGTGTGTGTGTGTGTGTGTGTGTGTGTGTGTGTGTGTGTGTGTGTGTGTGTGTGTGTGTGTGTGTGTGTGTGTGTGTGTGTGTGTGTGTGTGTGTGTGTGTGTGTGTGTGTGTGTGTGCGTGGGTGGGTGTGTAAGTGTAAGTGTAAGTGTAAGTGTGTATGTGTTGATGTGTAAGTGTTTGATGCTCTGAGTTTCCGATTGGATGTGTGTGTATCCTCAAGTGTGTATGTGTTTGTGTGTGAGTGTGTGTTTTTGTGAATGTATTTGTGTGTGTGTGTGTGTGTGTGTGTGTGTGTATGTATGTGTGTGTGTGTGTGAATGCGTGTGTGTAATTGTATGAGTTTTGTGTAAGTGTCTGTGTGTGCGTGTGGATGTGTGTGTGTGTGTGTGTGTGTGTGTGTGTGTGTGTGAGTGTGTGTGTGTGTGTGTGTAAGACAGCATGAATATATGGACCCCACCTCTGTCTAACACCCAGACTTTGTGAATGTATGTCTCTAAACCAGATGGTGTGTGTGTGGTCGCCCCCTACAGCTCAGTAGCTGAACGTCTCCAGGAAGCTGCTTCTACTCAGTGACCTCTGCTCTTTCTGATGATGATGATCTCTGTGTTTACTCCAGGATCCTGCCTGCTCTGATCCATGCTGTACCACCTTCAGAAGGGGGGGGGGGGTGCATGCATGCATGTGTGTGTGTGTGTGTGTGTGTGTGTGTGTGTGTGTGTGTGTGTGTGTGTGTGTGTGTGTGTGTGTGTGTGTGTTTTTGTGTGTGTGTGTTTGTGTGCATGTAAGTTGGTGTGTCTCTGTGATTTGTGTGAGTGTGTTTAACAAATATCAAAGTATTTGGTGATAAAACTTGATGTAAGAGTTTGTTTGTGTGAGTGTGTACGTGTGTATTTAAAGTGACCCCACTGATGCCTAAAAAAGAGACTGTGTGTATATATGGATCCCACCTCAGTACCTCTGTGTGTGTGTGTCAATGTAAATATGTGTGCGTAAGAGTATGTACATGTGTTTTTGTGAGTGTGTTTGTGTGTATTTTTTGTGTGTGTTTGTGTGTGTAACACAGTGTGTATATAGACCCCACTCATGCTTAAAAACCAGACGGTGTGTATGCGGACCCCACTCATACACACACACTCAGACAGCAGTCAAAGAAACCACAGGTAATTCACAATAATGAACAATGGCAACCTGGTCTCACCAGAATGCGTGACTCCACCACGACTCCTTAACACCGCATTGCGTGGTGGAGTCACGAACTTTGCTACATTTACGTGTCTGCACCACGCAAACAACCCCTATGTAAAGTGAATGAGGCTCCTTTGTCGTGGTGCACACACGCATTTCTACAACGTCCAGCAGTGAGCTTTTATTCTATAAAACGTTTTTAAAATCTACTGTATAGCTTGTAGTAACTCACAGGAGGCTTCTTTTATTTTATTTGTATCCATAATCATTTTTATTTTTCGTCAGAATGTATTATGGTGCATTATTCACCAATGTTTGTTCTCAAAAAACAGTGCATTGTGTGTAATACAACTGTGATTTTTATTAAATTAGTTCGTTTTTAAGGAAGGCCAGAGCTTCAGCTGTGTCAAAGAGATTGTTCCCTTTAGTTAACGTTATTTAAAAGATAATTATATTCCTATTTGATTAAGTCCCCTTTATTGTATTACGGACCCAAAGAGCTGAGCGTCCATTCCCATTGGATAACAGAGCATTTTACACCCGGAAGTAAGTATTCTCCTTACTGTCCATTGATTTTATTTACAGTGATATCTGCACTACTCATCAACTCAAAAACACCAGATTATCCTTGTTAATTACACAACATTGATTGGTTTAAATTGTGTGCAATGCTTTTGTATTTTCCCCTTTCGATTCGGAGAAACAAATATTTGTTCGTAGTGTGTGGATGGCAGAAGGCACTACACTACCCAGAATCCTCAGCTATAGGACTACACCATGTGCTTAGAACGTGTCCTACCCCCCCCCCTTAGGTCACAGGCTCCTCCAACAGTGCAACACAATAAAACAGATAGGCTACACAGAACAAATAGTGCAAGTAAATACAAAAAGAAAAATAGTAAAATAGTAAAAAGTGAAATAGTGCAATAAGAGTCTATATACAAGTGATTGGAATATGATATATTAGATAAATAATTTCTAAGTAGCAGCCAGATGAATGTTATGGATGTTGTTTCTAAGTTCAGGTGTTTAATAGTCTTATGGCCTGTGGGATGAAACTGTCCCTGAGTCTGGTGGTTTTAGTCCGGATGCTGCGGTACCGCCTGCCAGACGGCAGCAGACAGAACAGTTTGTGGGGTGATGGGGGTCTTTTATAATCCTGAGGGCTTTCTTTAAGGTTAACCTGGTATTTTTACTCCACTACATTTATTTTAGTTACTTTACAGATTTGGATTAATGATGTGAAATATAAACAACCCTTAAATCAGACTTTAGTTACACCGGAGTAAAATTCAGTGAATTCAGCCAACAATCAGGCGAGATATTTGGTAGTGGGTGCTTGAGAAGACTAAATATGTATCTGCAGATCCCTAAAGCATATTCATTACTCGTTATTCTCTACTAATAGTTCATTAAAAACTGTATATAATGGCTATTTTGCACATCCCTTTCAAGATTTCAAGATTTTCTAAGGTTTATTGACATATCATATACACAACTACGGTGTAGTTATGCAATGAATGAAACACTTGGGTCACAGGTTCATCAACAGTGCATCACAAGACATCTATCGATATCTGTGTACCTCCACCATTAAACATATTCTGCACATTTCTTATACTATCTACATACATCTTATAAGAGTATAATTAATATGTATAATATCAGTTAAAATAAGTGCTTCAACATAGTTAACATTGAAGGAAAGTTGATTGTCAAGTTCCAAAACAAACCATGCAATATATTAGACGTTAAGTACTTTGTCAGGCTTAATATCTGTAGATACCCCCAAAGCTTTTTTCTTATTTAAAAGACGACCTTAACCTAAAGTATTCTTTAATGTTTAAATAAAGCCTTATAAGTTTGTCTGTTTTGCACATCCTCCTATCAGGCACTAAACTGTTTTATTGTAGAGATCACTTACAGTATCTTCTTGATATTTTCTATTCTATATTATTTATATCATTGACCTTCCACTTTCCCACTATATTAAGAGTATGTACTCTTAATATTGAAATGTTTTCATCAAATATAACACATTCAAAAGTGCTTTACAAAAATGAAAGACATTAAGAAAAAGGCATTTTAAAACAGTCAATAAAAAGCAACCCAATCTACCTGCATTGCATTACTCTAAACGTGTAATAACGTGCTTTAACCAGTAGGAGGTGCGGGTTAAAAAGCTGTCAAGTTTACAGTGTTAACAAAATAAAATATACTGCTGTTTCTGGTTTAGTTTACGACGGATATATTCTGTTATTGTTTTGATATTTGTAACACAAAAGCGATGTAAAAAAACCCACAGCAACACAGAAAAGATGGTCTTAACATGACCCAGCGGTCTAGTAGTTAATAAAAAACAATAATATCAAAACAAATTATTACTACTAACTTTATTGTGAAATTAAAATAGAACGGTAAAAGAATAGTTTCCGGTCTATTCTGAGGCCCGATCTCTGTAGATAAATAAAGAACTACGACAGATGTGTAATGTTTAATGCAGCCAAACCATTCATTACAATGCATTCATGTGATGACTTTCAAAGAGTAAAGCAAGCACTGCTGAATAAAGTATGATTTGATCTTTGACGAAACGTTTTTTTCATTGGAATGCAGTTGGAGGTCAACCAATCACAGAGCTTGAGGCAAAGCGGAACAATAGCTGAGGATTCTGGGTAGTGTAGTGTCTTCTACCATCCACACACTCCGAAAACATATTTGTTTCTCCGAATCGAAAGGGGAAAATACAAAAGCATTGTACACAATTTAAACCAATCAATGTTGTGTAATTAACAAGGATAATCTGGTGTTTTTGAGTTGATGAGTAGTGCAGATATCACTGTAAATAAAATCAATGGACAGTAAGGAGAATACTTACTTCCGGGTGTAAAATGCTCTGTTATCCAATGGGAATGGACGCTCAGCTCTTTGGGTCCGTAATACAATAAAGGGTACTTAATCAAATAGGAATATAATTATCTTTTAAATAACGTTAACTAAAGGGAACAATCTCTTTGACACAGCTGAAGCTCTGGCCTTCCTTAAAAACGAACTAATTTAATAAAAATCACAGTTGTATTACACACAATGCATTGTTTTTTGAGAACAAACATTGGTGAATAATGCACCATAATACATTCTGACGAAAAATAAAAATTATTATGAATACAAATAAAATAAAAGAAGCCTCCTGTGAGTTACTACAAGCTATACAGTAGATTTTAAAAACGTTTTATAGAATAAAAGCTCACTGCTGGACGTTGTAGAAATGCGTGTGTGCACCACGACAAAGGAGCCTCATTCACTTTACATTGGCGTTGTTTGCGTGGTGCAGACACGTAAATGTAGCAAAGTTCGTGACTCCACCACGCAATGCAGTGTTAAGGAGTCGTGGTGGAGTCACGCATTCTGGTGAGATCAGGTTGAACAATGGTGTAGGCAGACTCATTGAAAGATGCAACAATAGAGATCAGTGTGAATGATATAATAGAGGTGTTAGAACGTGTTAGAGGACACACACTTTGAGTTGGCTCGACACAAATATTAATGCCTTCATATAACTGAGTATAAACACACTGATGGGACGTTCAATACAACATGTATTATTATTGTGAGTGTGTGTGAGTGTGTGTGTGTGTGTGTGTGTGTGTGTGTGTGTGTGTGTGTGTGTGTGTGTGTGTGTGTGTGTGTGTGTGTGTAATATAGTGTGTAAAATCACCCCAATTATGTGTGTGTATGTGTTTGTATGTATGTGTGTGTGATTGTTTGTGGGGGGGTCTCTCTGTGTGTGGTCAGTATGTGTGATTGCATGTGTGTGTCTGTGTGTCTTCATATTTGAACATGTGTGAGTGTGTGTGTATTTGTGTGAGACTGTGAGTTTCTGTGTGTATGTGTGTGTGTGTGTGTGTTAGTGACCCCAATGGTACCTACAATCTGAAGAGTGTAAATATATAGACCCCACTTATGCTTAGAAACCAGACGGTGGGTGTATGCAGACCCCACTTATGAGAGGACACTAGATCCATCTGCACTCTCATCATATACACCACACACTTCTCTTGGCCTTGTTAACACCATAGTCCCTAATATATTTGTAGAAAGGCAGGAAATGGAATTAAATAGAGAAAATGTTTCATTGTGGAGGACCCCTGTTTTGTGCCCCCCCACTTCTCAAACCAAAGTTACACCCTTGTTGAAAACAAACTCTTTCCGTAGTTTCTGCTGATTATGCAACTGATGACGTGTCTTCATCTGATCTGATCACACACACACACACACACACACACACACACACACACACACACACACACACACACACACACACACACATGCACGCACGCACGCACGCACACACACACACACACACACACACACACACACACACACACACACACACACACACACACACACACACACACACACACACACACACACACCATCAACGATAAGGACAGGGAGCTATTGCACCACTGACCCACTCTCTAAAGACACTCTCTCTAGGCGTCAGCGCGGCCTCCGGAGAAAACAACTCGTAATGTCTGAATATAAAGACGATGAAGGGGAGATCAATAAAATATATATTTTGTGTGTGTGTGCGCCCGGTCTACAGAGAGGGCATGTGAGGACCCACTAACCCGTCATGTAGATAAGATCAACAGCATGGCCAACATCACTGCGTAGAGACACAGAAATAAAGAGCAGCATAGAAACCACGTTTGAAACTCCGTGTGCACGGCGGCACGATCACTGGGAACACAGCACTCAGGAGCAAGGCACACATTCACAATAACTAAACAAAGCAGCTTTGCTTGGGCCTTCAACTTGGGCAACCGCTGTGTGTGTGTGTGTGTATCTTGCTGTCAGTGTTTACGAGTAGTTTTTTCTTGAGAGATCACAAAGATATTTGAATATAATAAATAATAAAGTGTATTCTTACCTGAGCTACAGAGCAGTAGCATCATCAGCAGCAGCAGGTGATCCATGTCTCTCTTCTGTCTCTCTCTCTCTCGCTCTCTTTATTCTGAGTATCTCATGTTTTGTCCTCGCATTATATCAGCGTAAAGCGAGAGGTGGAGTCTCTCTGGAAACATATCTGATGGTATTGATATGGTATTGATATCTGATGGTCACTTCCCGCTCTCTTCTCTCTTCAGCTACATGTCAAATCATCACATCAGAGGCTGAGCATGATCCTATTTTGAGCGAAATGATCCAACGCTAGTCTTTAGAAGGAGAACAAGTAAACATAAATGTCTCATTTAAAATAACAAGCTCTTTCACACAGATACAGAACAACTAACATTGGGGTTTGCTGCTTCACATTTTGAAGCAACTAAAGAACTAAAAGCCCGACTGAACAAAGGCAGGTGCAAAAAACAAAGTGTGTAGAAAAGTAGAAGAAGGACTCAGAGATCAGAGTCACAGAGCAGAGGACCAGAGTCCGGGGAGGAACAGGTTCAGGTGGAACCAGCTTGGTTCTGACTATGGAGAGGTTCTGTAATCCTCATGAACCTGTTAAGCCCGGGTTAATGATTTGAACATTGCTTCTTACCTAGTTAGTATTCTTTCTTTTTATTTATGCATATTTTACTAATCACTCCCCTTTGAAACTGTTTTTGTTACTGTCCGATAGTACACATTGGAATGGTTTCTTACTCATTTTGTGATATTCACACTGAAGAGAATTATTTGCCCTAGACTTCTGAGAGAGTCAATAACGTATAATACATTATTTTACATATATTATATATTTATTTATTTATTTATATAGTCTTAAAGTTACAACCGGCCCTTTGAGTGCAAACTTAATGCTGATGTGGCCCGAGATGAAATGGAGTTTGACCCCCCTGCATTAGGGTGTTGATGTCAGGCCTGACTCTCAGCTTTATAAAAAGGGAAGTCTTCAGCTGCTCTTTAATGTGGACAGTGATTTTTATTCAATAATAAACTATAGTTTATTATTGAATAAACTATAGTTTATTCAATAATAAATGAATATGTGAATCATAACAGTGATTGACAGCTGATAGGAATAATATGATTGTTAATAGTATCATATTCATTCAGACAAACATCGATGAGACAGTTCATTCATGTACTTATTGCAGCAGTCTTCATAGATTTGGTTCCCCTGCTGGTCTAAGAGTGAAACTAACTCATTCAGTTATTGTTCAGTTAAAATGCATTAAATTCTGTCTGCCACCTTATATATTTATATGTAAGCTTTACTGATGTGCCACAATAATGTCACCTAATGTTCAAATCAGGTTTTATATATATAGCACATTTAAAAGCGATTTTTGGTCGAGCCAAAGTGCTGTACATGTAATAAAAACACATTACTACAATCACAATAAAAGACAATAATACAGATATATATAAAAAATCAAATAAAAAAAACACAAGGAAAAGTCAGGAGTCGTGCTCCGCTCTAACTAGAAGGCCAGAGAGAAGAAGTGTGTTTTTAGTGTAGATTTAAAAACCCCTAGGGTCTGGGCCGACCTCACATGGAGGGGCAGAGTGTTCCAGAGCCTAGGGCCAGCTGCTGCGAAGGCTCGGTGCCCTCGGGTTTTGAGCCTGGTCTTGGGCACTACCAGCAGCAGCTGGTCAGCAGACCTTAAAGCTCTGGCTGGGGTGTAGCGCTGGAGGAGTTCAGCTATATAGGCCGGAGCCAGCCCATTTAGGGCTTTAAAAACAAATAAAAGGATTTTAAAATCAATTCTGAACCGAACTGGAAGCCAGTGGAGTGAGGCCAGAATTGGGGTGATGTGGTCACGCTTTTTGTGGCCAGTCAGCAAACGTGCAGCTGCGTTTTGGACTAGCTGCAGGCGTTTAATTGAGGCCTGGTCCATACCCACATACAGAGCTTTGCAATAGTCCAGTCTCGAGGTTACAAAGGCGTTAATAACCCTTTCTAAGTCTTTAAAAGATAAATACGACTTGGATTTAGCCAATAGTCTTATTTAAAAAAAGCAGGATTTGACTACGGTGCTGACCTGCTTGTCGAATTTAAAAGTGCTAGTGAAGGTCACTCCAAGGTCCGAGGGGAGGATGTTTTTTTTTAGAGAGCCCAGAATATCAACCGGAGAGGCTGGAGGTTGCGGTCCAAAAAAGATGACCTCAGTCTTGCTCTCGTTGAGGTTGAGAACGTTTTTATTGAATTAAAATATTAACATTGTGGCTTTCCAAGTTAACATTGATTGATATGACTGAGATTTAATCAGCATATACTTCTGCCAGGGGATGCCACCCCTCAGAATCTCCTGCCACCCTCTGAGCTTCAGTCAGAGAAGGGGGCGCTGAGCAAAGTGACTAGAACCACACACTGATATAGAGAGTGTCTTCAGAGACAGAGAGTGTGTCTTCAGAGAGTGTGTCTTCAGAGAGTGTGTCTTCAGAGACAGAGAGTGTGTCTTTAGAGAGTGTGTCTTCAGAGAGTGTGTCTTCAGAGTGTGTCTTCTGAGCAGGGGTTAAATTGGGCCGGGGCTGTCTCTTGCACATGATGATGCTCTGACGTCATCACCCTCGCACAGTTATCATATGTTTACAAAAAACGTTATGTAGGCCTAAGTTAAAACTTTCCTCGTTCTTAATATAGACTATATTTAGGGTCGATATGTTACATTACATTACACGTCACTTGTTAGACGCTTTTATCCAAAGCAAGTACTCAATACTGTGGGCAATCCCCACAGGAGCAATTTGGGGTGAAGTGTCTCAGGGACACAACGACATGCTGACTGCAGTGGGACTCGAACTTGCAATCCTCTGATTCGAAGATCAGCGCATTAACCCACTGCGCCACACGCCTCCTCGTATATATGTATTGACTTTACTTTAAAATAGCAGATCTCTGTGACTGGATATAGTTTTTTCGGCTTGGTGAACGTGTGTCTCTGCTCCGATCAGGAGTTGCAGCCCGCAGCCACCAACCCCCCCCCCCCCTAACATCACCTGTCTAATAGCAGAGAAGCTTTAATAACGGTGCTGTGAGGCCAAAGCACTTCCATTCAGACTGACACACATTCACTCATGGGGGGGGGGGGGGGGGGGGGTTGTGCAATAGCTCCATGATGTGATGAGAGGTGTTGTGCAATACGCTACAGGTCCTTATCATAGGTGGTGTGTGTGTGTGTGTGTGTGTGTGTGTGTGTGTGTGTGTGTGTGTGTGTGTGTGTGTGTGTGTGTGTGTGTGTGTGTGTGTGTGTGTGTGTGTGTGTGTGTGTGTGTGTGTGTGTGTGTGTGTGTGTGTGTGTGTGTGTGTGTGTGTGTGTGTGTGTGTGTGTGTGTGTGTGTGTGTGTGTGTGTGTGTGTGTGTGTGTGTTTGTGATGTACATGCTTTTTTTATAATTCTCTTTAACTTTGATAAGATCACAGAGGGTCGTGCTGCCGTCCAGTCGCTCTCTGTGTTCATCAGTGTGAGATCTATAGAAGGAGACAGACTCTCTCTGAGGACGTCTTGATTCTCTGTCACTGCCTTTGTTCAATCGCTCCATTAAAGGAAAGGCAAAGAAAGTGTATTGATAAAGCATCTTTCAACACGAGGCCATTCAAAGTGCTATAAGAGCATCAAGAAACACATATATTCAAATATAGATTCAAGTGTAGCTCACTTCCCTGAACTGCATTTCTGAGGAAGTGATCATGAAGACGCTGATGGATTACAGATTACAGAAACCATTTCCTGTCTCCATGACGACCAGGGCGCCCTATCAGATTAAAGCTGTCAGTGTCAGCAACAACTTGTGAGGCGATCAGGTCTGAGGATGCCTTCAGGTACTTTATAATAATTATAATAATAATACATTTCATTTATATAGCACACTTTAAAAACAACGTCATCTCAAGGTGCTTCACAAAGCTATCAGGAGAAAATAATAAAACTCATAAAATAAAAAGATATCTTTATGAACTTTAGAAACTCACACTCATTGGCCCGGCTCATTTTCTGTGGAGAACGTTTTCAATGACCACACACTGTACACCCCCCCCCCCCCCCCCCCCACACACACACACACACTCACACACACACACACACTCACACACACACACTCACACACACCCCACCCCCCCACACACACCCCACACACTCTGAAAGGCTGTGTGTTCACCAGAGGTGAACCGTCAGGGCCTTCAAGGTATTCAGAGAATACCCTGGAACACTGAAAAGACGGACATTATAACGGCGTGGGGGGGCGGTGGCGGCGGTTGTGTGTCTACAGAAGGTCCAGTTGCAAACATCGATTTAATTATATAAATAAAATGATTAATGAGAATGGTATGTGTGTTGTTGATCTGTAATATCACAGTGTTACGTTGATTTGTTTCTCCTTCTCGGTCCATGCACGAAGCATTTCAGTGGTTTTGTGTTAGAAACTAAATGTGACCAATCAGATGTTGTTCTGGGTCTCTGGGTAGAATATCCTTTAATCAGGTATTCTATATCCTTGATAGAAGGCCCCGGCCCTCACACTGAATGAGAGCGTTTGGATTGACAGTTTGATCAACCAATCATATATTGATTTGTAGCCAATGGACGTGTTCTCTCAGAGTTTCCCTGGGTTCCAGGTGCTCTAGAAGGCCCGGCAGTTCACTGGAGAGAGACAGAGGATCCAGAGAAATGCCACGGAGCAATTAATCTGAAGTTTTATTGTTTTAACGTTGAAATGGAAACAGGTGAAGATGGTGTTGTTGCAGAATTGTTGTCAGTACCTTTTCAAGACGACAATTCAGTGAAAAGACGTACATTATAACGGCGTGGGGGGGGCGGTGGCGGGGTGTGTGTGTGTGTGTGTGTGTCTACAGAAGGTCCAGTTGTGATAGACACGGTTCTCCACTGGTGTTAACGGGGCTGAAGTGTTGTGTAGACTCACATCAATGTTCTTAATGCTCTAAAAAAAATACTTAAGAAAAACCCTTTATTTGTACATTTGTCATATCGTGATTTAATTAAAAGAAAATGTTTTTGTTCAATTGCATTTTAAAATAAAAACAAATATGGTCTTTATTTATAATTGTGCTCCAACAAAGGTAAAGGGCAAACATGAACCTTATCAGCTGTTTGTACGGCTTGTAGTTGGGATAAAGGGAACATCTGTTGAGTATGTTCACATCCAATTGTTTGGTTGTGTTCATTCACAAACCCAGTAGCTCAGCGGGACTCCAGACCCCCGAACACCGGCTGAATAACAACGATATGAACGCCATCCAAGGGTTAAAGTGAACTCAGATAACCAGGAACACTCTCAGGGGGCTCTAGAAGGTACAGCACCCCCCCACTGTAGATACATATGTGCAAAGCGTGTAAATATAGAATGATGCAGCATATTTAACTGCTATTCTTAACCTGTATATAGCATGACATGTTGAAGCCTATATGATGATTGTATGTACGTGTCAGAGTCCTGTGAACAGTGTGTGTTTACTGAGGGACTGATTGAGACATCAGAGAGCGCAGTTAGCATGTTGCTATCTCTCTGTCAGATCTCAGCTGTCACCAGGAAGTGATGGGGGGGGGGATCAGTCCCTGCTGTCACTCTGTTACTCAAAATCTATTTACATGTTTAAAACCAATGAGAAAACCTCTTATATTCCATGAGTTACTACATTGAATGCTTTCATGAGTTGTATTGCAGTCTTGAAAGAGACGGCTGAGACGAGGCCGTCCAAAATGACCTCTTTAGGGCAAAACAGAGAAACACAACACACCATGTACTGTGTGTGTGTGCGTGTTTAAGCAAAGGTGCAGGGGAGATATTATTGAGGGGTGTGTGAGTGTGTGTGTGTGTGTGTGTGTGTGTGTGTGTGTGTGTGTGTGTGTGTGTGAAGAGGTGTGTTTTAAAGAGGAGAACAAAAGGAGAGAAGATGAAATAATCACACAGAGAGGGAAGGGTTTCCTGTCCGTGCTATAATGGAGTCCCTCAGTCCAACTCTATTTGCATTCAACACAAATTAAATGCTTAGCAAGTCTTTGTGCAAACGTTTAATATTACTCAGACCGATGTGGTTGCCTGGTGTTTCCAATTGTTGGAACTGTGTGGAGCTGCTGGTTTTTGGTCTGCGAGGGATAAAGATATTAAAGGAAATATATAATAATTCAAAGTAATGTTACCTCCACAAAGGAGGTGATGTTTACAGGTTGGTTTGTCTGAATGTTAGCTCCATTGAGGAAAAAAGTAAAATGTTCAAATTGTAAAAGGGCGTAGCACGGGAAGAAGCATTTACATTTGGTTTGAATATACAAATTATTTTCCATTTTTGTTTACATTGCAAGAAAGGGCATTCATTATTCTCTCTACTAAATCCATCACATCGATAGTTCAACCGACAAAAGGTCCACACATGGTTGGCTGGCTGATTTCTTTTTTAGTTTACTATGTGCTGCTTGGATTAGTTTTCATTAGTATTGTTTATTTCCAATAGCACACAAAAAGAACATTCAGAAACGACAATACAAATAATACCAGAATATGAACAGAATCATGTCAGAAAGTGCAGACACACTGTAAAAGATGCAGCTCCAAAAACAAGTCAATATATAATAAAAACAAGGTGTTTTCTCTTTTAATAAGTGAACAAACCTGCCAATAGAACAAGTACAAAATGGCTTGGTGAGATTTCTTGAAGTAAAGATGGGATAATTAGATAAATGACATCTTGTGTTTAGCTGGGGAAACTTATTTTGAACTATATTTGACCAGAATCAGGGAATTTGTAACAAAGAAAGCCAGAAATGCTCAGACGCTTTCTGTTTCCTGATGTTAGCTGGAGATGTTCCTCTAAAATAAGATGTTTTTAAGAGACTTTGACTTAAAAAGATGCTTAAGATGCCTTGTCTAAAAACAAGACTTCAGTTATTAAGTCTTATATCAAGTGTAACGACATATTCTGACTAGAAATTAGACAAATATACTTAGCAAGATTGTACATGTTAGCAGTGCACACTTTAACTCAGGCGTCCAGAGAGAGACGTGAGAACATGTACGATGAGATGCATCTTGATCTGATTCTGAATGACTTGTTTTGATGCAGATGGTCCCCCGGTCCTGTCTCTGACCCGGCACCATGAGTCCTGAGCTGCTGCTCCTCCTGCTGGTGGCTGCAGGGAGCGCAGGTAAACACAGGGACTCAGTGCATTCACTCAATGCTACACTTCACTGCTAAACTACTCAAAAGTAGAACAAATAACCTGCAGACATCAACTAGTTGTTAATTAACATGCTTATTAGCAGTATATTGGCTCTTTATTAGTCATTATAAAACACTTATTAATGCCTTATTCTACATGACCATATTCTACAAGTAATAAGCCATTAGTTGAGAGTTTTTCCTCAATAACCCTCTAATTAGTGCTTATTGATTGTAAGTAAGGAAGTTGTTGTACATGAGTCTTAATCTGCTCAATATGGGCCTAATAAGGCAGCAGTACCACACGAATAGTAATTCTCCCATAATAACACTTAACAGATATGATCTATTCTTATGTAACAAGACATGAAACTATAAGTGTTAATTAAGTCTAAATAACTCAAAAGGAGGTATTTCTATCTAAGAATATGTTTTGGGGTGTTGACAGTTCAGCTACCAATAGCAAGGTGATATTGACCTGTATGTTTCATATTTATTACATTGTTATTTATTCAAGTTAATATACCAGAAGTCATGTTCAGGTTGGGAGTCACACTTTAGTTTCTGTTGATTTATTTATAATTGGATTTCTTTATAATTTGTGTACGTGCTATGTTTGAATTCAAAGATGTTTTTTTCTGCACATTTTTTGCAATAAATTGTTAATAAATGAGTGTGTGAACGGTGTGTGTGTAGAAAGCTTCAGAATATAGAGAGGAAGGAATGTGGACGCTTTGGTTTCTGTAAGAGATTTCTGCTGAGAGAGGAGGAGAACAATATCATGGAGATAAAGACATTTGAGACAATTCCAACATTTTAGGAAAACTGTCGGAATAATCAAATATAAAATACGACGAGTAAAGTTTAAATAATAACTAATCTGAGCAATACTCTATGTAATAATAATTAATCTGAGCAATACTCTATGTAATAATAACTAATCTGAGCAATACTCTATGTAATAATAACTAATCTGATCAATACTCTATGTAATAATAATTAATCTGAGCAATACTCTATGTAATAATAACTTTATTTATTATTGTGATCAATCAGCTGTTATATAAGGAAGGGGTGGGACTGAGCCACAGGAAATGGTCTCCAGCACGGAACGGGGAATCGGTACAGTCTTCACGTTACACTGATCATTTGTTTGTTTGAATTTATGGAAGAAGTCAATAAATCCGCCAGAGGAAGGCAAAGAAATCAGCGCCTACAGAGTTTTATTTGGACTGTTTTTAACGTGTGAGTCAAGAAGCGGATCCCTGTTAATGTGGCACAGTTTTAAATATCCTACAAGAATGGGCCACGACATAGCCAAAGACTCCGGACCGCTGGAATAACTGATGTGAAAGACGCATCGCTGACTGGAATCCCGGCTTGGATATTTGTGAATGGAAGAAGGAGACTCCGCGAACAGAGAGTATGGATTGCGCAACGATCAGCTGTTGAGCCATGCGGAGCAGTGGCGTTTTCTCCTGGAGGCCAAGGGAAGGGTTAAAATGTCTCTTTGGGTCAAAAAGGTTGCAGACCCCTGCCATAGTTTATGGGCGCTGTACGCTATGTATGCCTAGTTCTGTTAAGATAGGATAATAATATACTTTATTGATCCCAAATTGGGAAATTGTTTTGTTATCAAATATCGTTAATAGTAATCATATTTTTTTTCTTCCCCCCAATTTCCGGCGCCCCCCATGGATGGATGCGCCCTTAGCATTCGCCTATACTGCCTATGCCAAGGGCCGGCCCTGAGTACAAGGTCCGAGTTATTCTTCTTTTAATCAAGTACACGATCTGAGTACTTCTACTTTTAGGAAATCATGAATCCACCTTTTTAGAAAGTGTATATACTGCCCTCTTCTGGACAAAGGTGGCTCTACACTCATCAAAATGTAATCCATCAGGAAATGTTAGGGTTTTATACTTTTTCTGATATTGAAAGTTACAGAAAAAATACTTCAAATGTGTAAATGTCCAAAAATGAGCAGATTCTGCTCTGTGATTGGTTGATAATAACAAACGTTGTGTTACTTTCAATCCTATATTTCTTTCATAATTGAGCTAATTCTCAACACTTAAACTATCCCGAATTATCCATTACATCTCCTTGTTTACAATGAACCGATGCACGTGCAGAAAGAAATCGCAGAATTACTTTTATAGTAAATAAAACGTTAAAATGTGATAATTTTCAAGCAAGTTTTGAAGCCTCTTTTTTTCCTTATGACTTCTGGGCGGATTTACTATTGTTTAGTCTCAAAGAAATGTCAAAAATACGATATATTCAGGAAGTGTAAGTCAAAGTGAATCTAAAAACACATGTATCGTGTTTGTAAAGTGAATTATAAGGCTTAATTAATTGCCTACAAGAGTTGTGAGAACATCCACTGTAGCTGCTGTCAATCAACGGGTTAACTACAACACCTGACTTCCGGTTTGGTTGAAGAGCACCCTTTGAGTCATTTTTTGGCTTCTCTAAAAATGCGTATCGATTTGACTGCTTTTTAAATGGTTAAAAACACTATTTTGATGTTGAATCTTTCCTGTTTAATGTGCCATACTTCATGTTGTCATATATTTATTTTAAAATATATATTAATGAGAATTTCTATAATTTGTTCCTGTTTTATTTTACAATAGTTATTTGTTATTATTATTTTAATCCATCTATTTATATATTATTTCATGTATCTTTAATATCAGATTTTTAACTTTAATTCCAATGTATTTTATATTGAATTTATTTATTAACTTTATTTTTATTTCACATTTTCCCTTTTTTTAAATGTCATTATTTTTATTGCAAATATTATTATTATAGTTTATGCTAATCTATAATGTTCATATAATATTACATTTTGTATTTACTTTATTGTTATTGCAAATGTTTCCTTTTTTAATTTAATTTATTATTATTATATTTTATTTTATTGTAAATATAATTATTGTTTTTTGCACATTTTTATTATATTATTTAATTTGTATGTACTTTATTTCTATTACAAAATTAAAACATATTTTTTAAATACTACCAAAAGCTGCAGCAAAATGTAAAGAAATGTATAAAAATTCCAGCACTCAATTAAAAGGATGTTTTGTTGTATTTCTTGAAAGACACCAAAACAATAAAGGAATAAAAGTAGATCTTCCATTTGTATAAACATCTTTTATTGGATATTCTGAACTTGGAGGGTCTGGATTTTCTCCCATGTCTCCCCTCCCTCAGAAGACTCATAGATTTGGGCTCCAGACCCCAAAGTAAAGACCTTTTTTCTGCCTGCTTTTAAAACTAACACTTGGTCCAGTCCATCCAAAAACCATTCACTTCCTACAGCGAAGAATAAACAATGGGAGAGTCGACGTACAAACTGTTTTACAACGGGATAAACACATCAGTGCCAGTGGGTCGGGTAACTTTCAAAACCTCTCAAAAGTCATTCTGTGTGCCTTTTAAAGGTCCCCTATTATACTGTTCATCCATCAATATATCACAGCTCTCAGATATATCCAGAGCCTGTCTCTGATTGGCTGAAACACCAAACAGATCATTGCAGCATCCCATAATCCCCTCTGTTTCAGCCCTGTTTCCAAAGTGCTGATTCTCTGTCTGTTACTTCAGATGAAAATAAGGAGCCCCTCCCCACGCCCCTCTGAGAGAGATTTGGTTACAAAGAACTCAATGGTGCTCTAGGAGGACATTCAGGTGATAAGGGGGGGGGGGGGGGGGGGGGGGTTACCTTGGTTGCTGATTGGCTAATGGTTACACAAGACAAAACATCGTTATGACATCATAAAGTGGCCAAAATCTGATCAGCTAATTTTCAGACAGGTTTTTATAGAAATGGATCAAAAAGAGAGAGAATCTTTTTTCCTGAAACTTTCAGAGTCACTTTACACCGAGGGGACACATGTTGATGAAGAAGAGACATGAAGAAGAGGGGACACATGTTGATGTAGAAGAGACATGAAGAAGAGGGGACACATGTTGATGTAGAAGAGACATGAAGAAGAGGGGACACATATTGATGTAGAAGAGACATGAAGAAGAGGGGACACATGCTGATGTAGAAGAGACATGAAGAAGAAGGGACACATGTTGATGTAGAAGAGACATGAAGAAGAGGGGACACATGTTGATGAAGAAGAGACATGAAGAAGAGGGGACACATGTTGATGTAGAAGAGACATGAAGAAGAGGGGACACGTGTTGATGTAGAAAAGACATGAAGAAGAGGGGACACATGCTGATGTAGAAGAGACATGAAGAAGAGGGGACACATGCTGATGTAGAAGAGACATGAAGAAGAGGGGACACGTGTTGATGTAGAAAAGACATGAAGAAGAGGGGACACATGTTGATGTAGAAGAGACATGAAGAAGAGAGGACACATGTTGATGAAGAAGAGACATGAAGAAGAGGGGACACATGTTGATGTAGAAGAGACACGAAGAAGTGGGGACACATGCTGATGTAGAAGAGACATGAGGAAGAGGGGACACATGTTGATGTAGAAGAGACATGAAGAAGAGGGGACACATGCTGATGTAGAAGAGACATGAGGAAGAGGGGACACATGTTGATGTAGAAGAGACATGAAGAAGAGGGGACACATGTTGATGTAGAAGAGACATGAAGAAGAGGGGACACATGTTGATGTAGAAGAGACATGAAGAAGAGGGGACACATGTTGATGTAGAAGAGACATGAAGAAGAGGGGACACGTGTTGATGTAGAAGAGACATGAAGAAGAGGGGACACATGTTGATGTAGAAGAGACATGAAGAAGAGGGGACACATGTTGATGTAGAAGAGACATGAAGAAGTGGATTTTGCACAATAGGTGACCTTTAAAACACACAAATCCTCCAAATAGTGGACGCTTAACTCTTCGATCATCCAGTCGTCACACACGGACATTTTCCTGAACCTCTGTGACCCGAAAAACTCTAAATGAAACATCCAAATCACACTTAAAAATGTGTGGAGCACGGGGAATATAGAAGTATCTTTCAATGGTTTTACGCTAAACTAATGTTCCACCATTCATGATTCATAATGCACTTTGTAAATGCCTATATTTCAAGTGGTTTTTATAATAAATCATATTTAAAGTTGAGAAATTATTCAGTAAAATCTGAACATTTCTCCCAAAAAAGGATGTTTTAATGTCACTTTCCAAAGTGACAAAATGGTCTGTATTGTCTAAGCTTTCTTATTGTTTCATGTCATTTAGGAGTGAGTAAACTGCTAATCGTTTGCATGACTTGACAAAGAAAGACAAACATGTATGTGACACTTATTTCTTTTGGCTTTTACTTCCAAATCTTCTTTCTGTTCTTCTCTTGAAGGCACTCGCTGGTGGAGGAGGAAGCTAGAGAGGTCTTTTTTAAGAGATATCATGAATCAGATTTATTATATTTAACATTAAAGGGGCCACATCCTGCTGATGTTCAGGTGTTTATCAGTATGTAGTGTCTCTACTTTAAAGAGTCCTCTCCTGCTGATGTTCAGGTGTTTATCAGTATGTAGTGTCTCTACTTTAAAGAGTCCTCTCCTGCTGATGTTCAGGTGTATATCAGTTTGTAGTGTCTCTACTTTAAAGAGTCCTCTCCTGCTGATGTTCAGGTGTTTATCAGTATGTAGTGTCTCTACTTTAAAGAGTCCTCTCCTGCTGATGTTCAGGTGTTTATCAGTATGTAGTGTCTCTACTTTAAAGAGTCCTCTCCTGCTGATGTTCAGGTGTTTATCAGTATGTAGTGTCTCTACTTTAAAGAGTCCTCTCCTGCTGATGTTCAGGTGTATATCAGTATGTAGTGTCTCTACTTTAAAGAGTCCTCTCCTGCTGATGTTCAGGTGTATATCAGTATTTAGTTTCTCTACTTTAAAGAGTCCTCTCCTGCTGATGTTCAGGTGTATATCAGTGTGTAGTGTCTCTACTTTAAAGAATCCTCTCCTGCTGATGTCCAGGTGTAAATCAGTATGTAGTGTCTCTACTTTAAAGAGTCCTCTCCTGCTGATGTTCAGGTGTAAATCAGTATGTAGTGTCTCTACTTTAAAGAGTCCTCTCCTGCTGATGTTCAGGTGTATATCAGTATTTAGTTTCTCTACTTTAAAGAGTCCTCTCCTGCTGATGTTCAGGTGTATATCAGTATGTAGTGTCTCTACTTTAAAGAGTCCTCTCCTGCTGATGTTCAGGTTCATATCAGTAAGTAGTGTCTCTACTTTAAAGAGTTCTTTATTTCTGGATAATTTACACGTCAATATTAGATTTCTCTGCACTAATGTGGCTTCAATAAACACATTTCTGACAGAGAAACGGTCTGAGAAGTTTCCGTCTGGAGGTCATGTGGTGCTCAAACTGAAGGTCGTATTGCTTCATATTTTAAAGATGCCGTTTGTAAATATTCTATAAATCCACCACCTTTTCTCCACCTTACAAACGGCATATTTGTAACATCAACTCTCTACATAAAGCACGTGGTCTGGGCTCAGAAGGCAAAGAATAATGCACATGTATTATTCTCTTTAAGGTGAGGATGATGAATGTGTAGTTTAGGAGATGAAACCTCACGATGACACGAAGAGGAGACACATTGCAGGACACTAATATGCACAAATGTGCTTTCATTTGTATTTTAATGTCATTTCTTGTGTAATGAAGACTTAAAATGCATCAAATCAAACAAAGAAATACATACACATACTAAGATGTATTTCCTTTATGGTTTTGTTTCTGTGTGTATGTATTTGATGTTGTTAGATTGTTGTTTCAGTGTGTTTTGAATGGACGTACCTTTTGTTGTTGTTGTCATATTGCAGTTTGAAGAACACTTGCAAAGCACGGTGGATGAAGAGGCCATACAATAACTGGATTTAATACATTTAACACCTCACATTTTGATTTATTCAACGCCTTTTTGAAGGATGCATGGATACCCTGTCTTCAGAAGCATTCTACATAGAGTGCCACAGTGACGCGTCCTAAAACACGCAAGTAAACTCCTTCCGGTTCCTTCGACAAAAACGCAATCCAATTTCTCCATAGGGTTTTGGAAAATAGCTGGAAATAAGGTCTGTGGTTGAAACACATTGAAGAGACGGGTCACGTTTTGTTCAGGATAATCTCCACATGTCTACCCTACTTTTATCATTTTATAATCATAAATCTAGTCGCCTGAAGCAAAATGCTAACGTTATGCTATCAACGAACTACAGCAGGGTCGCTGCTTCAACGTCACGCCAACTTAAGATCCATATTCAAACATACAGATTCTAAATGGTACGAGTTGAAGCGTTTGTTTGAACAGTTTGCAGGAGGCAGGGACTTGCTTTCAAGCAGAACAGGGCAAACAAACTTAGAGGAGTGTTTACGTGTTCGGCGTAATGACGTACAACGGCCTCGACAACTTCTGTAGTCCTATTCAGCCACTTGGTAACAACCATCGTTTTTCAGACACGTAAACTCTTCAGAAATCACCAGTGGGGTCAAAACGTGATCCGTCTCTTCAATGTGTCTCAACCACAGACCTTATTTACAGATATTATCCTAAACCCTATGGAGAAATTGCATTGTTTTTTGTCGAAGGAACCGGAAGTGGTAAAATGCTAACTTACTTCCGGGTTTTAGGACGCGTCACTGTGGCACTCTATTGGATTGATTTGCTAATATGACAGAAAGTATCAAATGTACAAGCGTTACAGTAAAGATTTTTACTGTTAAAGTGAAAGTTATATTTTCATCTTTTTTTCCCTAAGATTCTTTTTTTTTTTTTACAGAAATATGACTTTTTACGATTTTGAATGTAGTTTCAGAATTCCTTCAAATTTCCAGAATTTTGACTTTTATTCTCAAATTGTTGACTTTTTTCAAATTATGATTTATTTTCAGAATTTTGACTTTTTTTCAAATGTTTCTTAAATTTGGACTTTTTTCAGATTTAGATATTTTTTCTCAGAATTTTGACTTTTACAAATTATTCATAATGTTGACTTTTTTCACATTTTTCAGAATTTAGACTTTTTTTCTCCAAGTATTTCTCAGAAATTGAAAACCACCATATTCCTATTTGACAGAAAGCCGTTTCTCACCACATCGTAGTACTTGCTGGCGTACTGGTACAGCTGATGTAAGGCCAACTCGGTGTTCAGCTCGTGTGTGTGTTGCTGCAAAACAAAGGTTCAAACGCGTTAAAAAATCACCTAAAAATAGACATTTCCCATGTTCTGTTTTCCCCTTTCCTATAGGGTGTTTTTTATATAGCTTTTAGAGCATGTAAACGGTCTGCAAAGGCTAAAATCTCAAAGTTCCGGAATACAGTGACATCACTTGGAACACTTGTGCTTCTATTGGCCTCTATAAGGGGCGGGACATCTCTAAGTTCCACCAATCAGAGCAGACTAGGTCCCCTTTCTTAATAAAATACACTTTTTTTGTTTGTTTTCCTCCGATTTTTGATTGGAAATAACTTTGTAACTTTGTTTAAAAGTTGCTATATAAGAAAAAGTTAATGGTTATTTTTAAATGTGGAGTTCGAGGTCGAATCCGTCGACTCGGACGACTACAACGAAGACGAAGCTTCTCTGATATCCGCAGACGACCAGGTAAATATTCATCGGTTTACATTTTAGTATTTAAAGAGACCCTAATACATTTATTTTATTTATTTAAAATGTTCCTTTGAATAAAAAAACAAGTTCATTTTTTAGAATTAAATACATGAAAGAAATAATGTAAAAGACTAAACATACCGGAGTTTTTTCTAGAAGGAAAAGTATAATTTCTTTACATATACCCTGAGTTTTGTGTTGCTCCTATTGGCTAGCGCTCCAACACATTGTGCGTGATAGGCTAAGGGGCGGGACATCTCTAAGCTGGTTGCCCAATCACAACAGAGCCGGCCAGCAGACTGAATATAATGACTGAATATAATGTATGAAAAAATTGATTATGTTATATATTTTGTTCTCTGTCTGTGTCCAGGTATACGAGGTCACCATATTTTGAGGCGGACGATAACGACTCGTTTGATGAAGACACAGAGATCACTGAAGCTGTGAGTATACACACACACACACAACACACACACACACACACACACACACACACACACACACACACACACACACACACACACACACACACACACACACACACACACAAACACACACACACACACACACACACACACACACGTCTAACAGTGTGTGTTTCTCTCTCAGGATTACTGGCGCTGTGTGAAGTGTGACGAGTTGAACCCACCTCTGCCCGGAAAATGTCTTCGCTGCTGGACGCTGCGTCAGGATTGGCTGTCTGAAGCGTCACTCCCCCCAAAGCCCGCCTCCTCCAGTCCCAAAGACCTGCCCACAAAGCCAACCGACCAATCAGCAGCCAGAGAGACTCCAGGTAGAGAGAAGCTGTTTACCTGTTTACGTCATATGCTCAATTATTCTGACCTGAGCTCCTCCTACTACGCAACATATATAATAAAATACAAATAAAAAGTAGTGCAAGAAGTCTATAAACATGTAAATAGAACAAGAACAGAATATGAAATTAAATAATGTACATTAAGACAAAATTAAATACGGTTAATTGCGGTGATAACTATTTATATAAATGAGTAGATTGCAAGATGTGGGAAATAACAAAACGATCGATATTACGGAACGTCTACACAGCAGCGTTAAAAAAATCTTGAAACGCTTCTGCCCATTCACTTTGAATGGGGTGACGTCACTTTCCCTCACTTTTCGCCGAAATGCATTGTGGGCAGGCGAGCGGGGATTTTGAGGATTTTGAGGATTCAAAGTTGAACAATGTTCAACTTTTGAGGCTGAGGTGGAAGCGTCAGCCAATCAAATCCCGTGTACGCAAATCTGACAGTTCAAGCTCTAGCCAATCAAACGGCGTGTATGCTGGGAGACACATACCGCAGGTCATTTCCTCATATTCCAAAAAATGGAGGAGAAATGAGCGGTAGGGAATCAATCACCCGGTGCTTTATGACCAGACCTACCGGGATATAAACCGGAGGAGCCAGGCATGGAGGGAGGTGGCAGAGACAGTGGTATGTTTTCGCCTGTTTTGGGGAGTTTATATCCAGTTTACTTCGGGCTTTTTTGCTTCGTATGTCGCGGGCGGGAGATTCATGTGATTGGTTGTTCGCAAAAAATCCCCAAGCTTCAGATACGCCCACCTCCAAGATTTTTTTAATGCTGCTGTGTGGACGTACCGTTAGACGTACATTTTAAATTCTCTCCTACTTTGGCATCTTTTACTGATGTTCGCTTTGTCTCCTGTAGGTTCAGATGGCGAGGAGAACGAAGGAGTGGACGTCCCCGATGGGAAAAGATCAAAAGAGACGCCTCTTTTGTCTCAGTGCTTCTCCGACTCTTCAGCCCCAAACTCTGAGGAGCTCCTCTCTTCCTCCCAGCCGTCCTCTTCCTCGCAGCAGAACACTCCTGACTACCAGCCTTCTTCGTCCTCCATCGACTCCCAGGAGCTCCTCCCATCTTCCCTCAACACTCCTCGTCCTCCTGCTGGAGTCCCTGATCTGGAGCGCAGTGTTTCTGCAGAATGGCGTCTTCCCGACTCCTGTCTGGATCCGTGTCTCATTTGTCAGTCGCGTCCGAAGAACGGCTGCATCGTTCACGGAAACACGGGACACCTGATGTCCTGCTACGTGTGCGCCAGGAAGCTGAAGAAAAGGAACAAGCTGTGTCCCGTGTGCAGGCTGCCCATCCAGTCCGTCGTCTTCACCTACATCAGTTAAATCATCCCAGAATAACATCCAGCATCTCCCGGGTTCCTTCCATCTCAACCATTAGGATGCGTAAAGGTTTTGTTCAGCAGGATAGACACTACAAAGGAACTACAGCACATGACTTAACATCCCCAATGCTAAGCTAAAGGCGGCTAATCTTTTCATTCAAACGCATTTATAAAAACACCCAGACGAGCGAACAGGAAGTTGAAGAAATGCTCATTCCTGCACCACTCCATAATGACCAAATTTCAGTTGACTTGCGTCTGTTCGTGCGCACTCTCTCTCGCTTTAGGTGTCTGACAATCTATTCAGGAAGCTGGAATTATTTAATTGTTGTCAATAACCGCCTAAAAAAGAGACCAAAATCCAAAACATTTGTCAATTTCTGGTATTTTTTCACTTCCTGTTTCTGTGTGAGACGCATTGTTTCCCGCTCATGACAGAAATGTGTCATTTTTGACCTGTTTTTGTTACTAATGATGTTCTTATCATTGAGAAAGTTCCTAGAAGTTCTTCGAAGTCTGAAGTATTCAAATAGTTCAATTTATAGTGATTATAAAACAGAAAAACACTTTTATTTAATGGAAGAAAATGTGGTATTTACTAAAGAAGGGAAAAAGTGCATATTTTTGGATATAAACAATCTTATGTTGAGCATCAATGCACTCTCAGTTTTGGTCTTTTTTTTAAATGGGAAATTGACAAAAAATTATGCTTAAACCTAAATGTCAATTAAATTATCTTTCGTTTTGAAGCAGTTTTTCTTCCCCTGGTGTCTTCTTCTGAAATGTCTCACGTTAGAAAAAGGACATAAGGAACACTCCTGAACTGTTGTAATGTTATAATATACATTTCTGTGTCAAGTCTTGCTTCACTAAATGCATCATTTATTTACAACGGAGTAAATATACCTTGTAAAAACTCAAATAAGTGTCAGATTGTTTCTTAAAAAAAACTTGTACTGTTTTTATTTAATAGATTTCCCTGATAAAAAACTAACTTTGATTCTATTTCAAAGGAAAAATAGACATTTCCTTTATGGATAATTCTGTAAAAACATTTTTTATTGAAACATCTTCAACACAGAAAACAATCCAGGTTGCACAACGTTTTGGATTCATTCAAGCATCCTTATTTGATCAGGAGCTCTTTTTAAGTTAGATATCAGATCAGGTTTTGCATCGTTGATTCTCACCGGAGATACTTCAAGGTAAGAAGTGTTTAAAAAACTCTCGTGAGGAGGTTTCCAACGTTGGACTATAATCTTTTGAGCTTCAGTCAAGCCAGATTTTTGAGAGTTTTCCGCGTAAGAGAAAGGTGAGATTCATCATTTAGAAGATCTTTAATAAACTTCCCCCAAAAGTGTAATTTTACTCCTGGACACTCCCATACAACATGTAAGAAAGAGCCAATGGGGACAAAATGAACAATAAGGGTCTAATTATTAGTGTTAGATAGAATAGAATTGGGAGGGATGAACCCCTCTGTAATGGTCTCACATGCAGAGCTCACAGTGACATGTGTCCTCTGCTTTTAACCCATCCTAGCACCAGGAGTCTAGTACTAGGAGCAGTGGGCAGCTATTGTACAGCGCCCGGGGAGCAATGGGAGGTTGTCCGGTGCCTTGCTCAAGGGCACCACGGCAGGGCCCTGGAGGTGAACTGGGCCCTCTCCAAGTAGCAGTCCACACTCCATACTTTAAGTCTGTTCGGGGACTTGAACCGGCGACCCCACGGTCCAAGCCCCTACTGACTGAGCCACTGCCTGAGAGATATGCTCTATGACAACATTTCAGACGTATATACTGATGGTTTGGGTTTTTTGAAGCACTAACATTAACACAAATTGCATCCAAATCCAATTCTTGTCCTAAAGTGGATATTTCCCTATATATATTTCTGGGAGTTAAGATCGTTATAAATAAACAAAACTATTTGTTTGGGACTCAGAATAGGATGTTCTTTCAAATCTGAGGCTTTACAGGCAGACCTTATTCTAAAAGTAAAAGGAGAGAGTGTCTTTGACCAATTTTTGAAAGTCAAGAATATACAATATATATATTATATATAATATATACCTAAAAAGGAGAAGTCCCTTTTATTGGCGCTATCAGTTCTTCTTCCAAGATGAAACATTATCCTCATCTATAGCTGAGAGATCTAAATGTGAATGCCTAATGATATTGTTTAAAAAGTACACAAATATTATTTATAAATGATCTCAATTAAACCCCATTGTCGCTTTACTTAGTGACGCATTACAGAGTTCTTTTTTTAGGAGTATTTTTGTAAATATTTGAGAGATTATTCAGAGAAATAGACCCTTGAACATTTGTCTTAAGGGCTTAATTATTTCCTTGACAGTTTCCTGGAAAGAGATATGTAATATGTTTGTAAAAATGTGAATTTCTATATAAGAAATACTATAAAAATGGTCTTTAATTTATTATATTTGCCATATAATATATGTTGGCAGTGCACTGACAGGTCTATATTCTTTCCAGGAAACTTCCAAGGAGTGTCTTTTTATTTATTTAGTTTATTTAAGATGCTCATGTGTAATTTAAGCTGTGAGCATTTCAATAAGAAGATCTCTAATATTTTTCTGTTTGAGCTGAATAAAATATTACTTCTGTTTACTTGTTGTTGTTGTTGACTTACTATATTTGCTTTATTACTTTGGATGCTTTAACTTGTGTTTATATATATATATATTTTTTAAAAACATCAAAGTTATCAACCAGATGTACTAAATAAGTTCATTTTTTAAAATTAAATACATGAAAGAAATACATTAAAAACTTTTTCTAGAAAGATAATTGTTTCACATATACCCTCACGCTCCTATTGGCTAGCGCTCCAACACATTGTACGTGATAGGCTAAGGGGCGGGACATGTGTAAGCGTTTTGACCAATCACAACGGAGCCGGCCAGCTAACCAATCAGAGCAGACTGGGCTCTGGTTTCAGACAGAGGGTGAAAAGAGGTGCTGCTTTACTTGAGTATTTCCATGTTATGCTACTTTGTACTTCTACTCCACTACAGTTCAGAGGTACATGGTGTACTTCAACTCCACTACAGTTCAGAGGTACATGGTGTACTTCTACTCCACTACAGTTCAGAGGTACATGGTGTACTTCTACTCCACTACAGTTCAGAGGTACATGGTGTACTTCTACTCCACTACAGTTCAGAGGTACATGCCCTTACGCAAAGAAAATATATTTCCCCATATATTAACTGTCAATATATTGCATTATTTTGTTTTCTGATTTACTGGTTAATTGAAAAGATTTAATAAAGGAAATCTTGCTGTTGGCTACACCAAGTGATACTGATTAATAATCAACATGAAAAACATATTTATTCATATCTACAAAATATATTGAAAATATATTGAAGATATATAGAATAATATATTGTGTCAATATATTGATATATTGAATAATATATTGTGATAATATATTTTAATATATGTGATAATACATCAGTAATTGCCGCTTTCCATATATTGAGTAATATATGTAAATATATATAATATATTGGTTGTGTATATATGTGAACATACATTTACTATATATTAACATTTATATGGGGATATGTACTATATATATTCACAAATATATGGGGACATGTATGTACTATATATTCAGTTTTATATGGGGACATGTATGTAGAATATATTCACAATTATATGGGGACATGTACTATATATATTCACAAATATATGGGGACATATATGTACTATATATTCAGATTTATATGGGGACATGTACTATATATATTCACAAATATATGGGGACATGTATGCGCTATATATTCAGATTTATATGGGGACATGTATGTAGAATATATTCACAATTATATGGGGACATGTACTATATATATTCACAATTATATGGGGACATGTATGCGCTATATATTCACAATTATATGGGGACATGTATGCACTATATATATTCAGATTTATAAAAGACCATGTACGTACCATATATTCTGAACATGAGTGCAATATATGTTCACAATGAGGAGAAATGCATGTTCTGATAAAAAAAATCTTTCATTTCATTTCAAACCTTTATTTATGCAGGTGAATCCCATTGAGATCATTGATCTCTTTTTCAAGGGTGACCTGCTGCAAGTAGGTTCCACATGAATACATATAAACATAACAGAAAAACAAAAAAGGACATCATACAGCATATTTACAGTGACTACAGTTTACATAGCTAGTAACATTTACAGGTTCCAACAGTTTCCGATTGGATAATATCTATCCTTGCTTTAAAAACATTTAGTGGAACCAAATTGCTCAGACTGTTCCAAGTTAGCGGAGCTGCGCATCTAAATGCTATCTCCCCTAAGACAGTCCTAGCAGTTGGCACATTTAATAAAATCACAACATTCGATCTCAGGCAGTAGCCACTTACAATTCGCCGTGAGATCAGGGAGCAGATGTAGGAAGGAAGTTTCCCTAACATGGCTTTGTATATAAAAATGTACCAGTGACTGAGCCTCCGTACAGTTAGTGAAGGCAAACCTGCCCTTGCATACAGGGTACAGTGATGGGTTAATACTTTACAGTTTGTCACAAATCTCAGTGCACTGTGATACGCAGCATCTAACTTGACCAGGCAATTGGCAGGTGCATTCATATAAATCAGATCACCATAGTCCAGTACAGGTAAAAAGGTCACAGTGACTAGCCTTTTTCTGGCCTCAAGTGAGAAACAGGACTTGTTCCTGGAAAAGAAACCTAGCCTAACCCTCAGCTTTTTAAGCAAGTTATTGACATGAAGTTTAAAAGTGAGACAATCATCAAGCCAGATACCAAGGTATTTGTAACAGGTAACCACTTCAAGTTTTATTCCTTGTGTAATTACAATATCTAAAACAGGCTCTGGTGTCTTTTTTAGTTTTTGAAAAGAGCATTACCTTGGTTTTATCAACATTTAAAAGAAGCTTAAGCGCTGAGAGCTGAGTCTGAATAATGAGAAGCTTAATTTGTTTTTTTCTATCAATGTGTAACAGTTATCAAAATACTCATTAAAAGAAGGACAAGGAAAGAATAAAAGAAAAGGCCTATAAACAACACATTGTGTAATGACTCAAGAACATTTTTATGTAATTATGTAATAAAACCCACATTTTGTAATAATCTGCTGCATTCTGTAACAGCCTGAAGGCAATATAAAATACATTTCCCTGCATTTTGTAATAAATTACATTTTGCAATGATTATTACAAAATGCGTGAGTTGCCCTTTTAAAAAACTGTAATATTCATTATGTAACCATAACCAAACTGTAAATATATCCCAAAATTGATGTTGATATACATGTTGGCTAATGAATATGGTAACACTTGATCTAGTTTTGGCCAATGAAAGATATTCTACTGAAATATTTTAAAATTATGAGTAAGGATGATTCATGGTTGAATAAATAAATAAACAGTTGTAATGTTATTGTTTGCAACTCATTTTGTAATAACCACAGCAATATGTAATAATATATTTCAAAATGTGGCGACATGTATTACATATTTGCATTGAACTTGTTTACTACATAATGGGCAAATTATTACAAAAGGAGGTGTTATTACATAATGAAGGGAAAATGTATTACATTTTGTATAGGTATAGTTAATAAATGATGCATTGTTATTTCATACAGGGCCAAAAAGAGCAGTCTGTTATCCTATTTAACAATCTTGTTTTTTGTTTCACCTGGTGGCAACTTTAAACATGAGCTGATCACTCATTAAAACAAGGTCCGGAACAGGGCCAAAAAAACAGTCTTGTACCCTATTTGATCGTCAATCTTGTTTTTTTCGTGCCTTTACTCACAAATTCTTGTGTTAATGGATGTTCTTATATCTGATGTCTTGGTCCCTGGATGGTGGTTTACTACAGCATCTGTGGAACAGAACAATTACAAATAATTAGAAGTTCACAAAAGACAGCAGGAA